ACTCAGGGAAAGCAGGTTTGGGGGAGGGCATGAGGAGTTTGGTGAGTGTGGGAGCCCTCAGTACACTGAAGAAGCATAAAGTCAGCCAGTGCAGAGGCACAACAGAGGGACCCCCCAGTCAGCTGCAGGGTGCATCAGAGCCCCCTGGTGGGAGTTGGGAGCTGGTACACAAACAAAGCTCACCCTGCCCCCACTCCTGATTAAATGGGTCTGGGATGTGTTCTGGCATCACCTGCAATTTGAGGACCAGGTCCTGGGGATCATGCTTGGAAACATTCTGGAGCATCATCCGGTGATGGTGGTGGGGGTTGTAAATACCTGAGCGCCCCCCCCCCCATGGTGGGGGGTGGGGTGGAGAGAGCTAGGGCTGGAATCCACTAGGACTGTCTCAAGTATACACAGGTCAACTGGGTGGGGTGGGAGTAGGCATGACTCAGGGCGGGCCCTTTCCTCTATCAGGCCCTAATGCTCTGCCCCTCGCCCCGGACGGGAGAACAGTGTCGGTTTCCAGGGATGTGCATGTATTGTGCCCGCTTACAGTTGTGTGAACCGGAAGCATGTGCCACCGTGCAGCACTGGGTCAAGTTCATGTGTGTCAGGGCTCAGGTCTGCATGGGACTACGGCGATGTGTGTGCACTTGGCCCTCACCCACAGCTGTATACCAGTCAAGGCCGGAGGGCAGGTTTCCACGTATATGGGCCTGTTCCGTGTAGATCGTGCATGGCCCTGTGTGTGCCTGTGTCGGTACAGGTGTGGACAAAGGGTCCATGTCTCCCCGTGCCTGGCGGTTGTCGACGGGTGTGCGCCAACTTCTGTCCTCCGAGGGGGATGGGTCCGCAAGGGGAGGCCGCGGCGTCCGGGAGCGGCGGGGGCGAGGCCAGGCAGCCCTCTGCGCGTTGGGGGAGACCGGGCGGCGCGGAGGGGGCGGGCGGAGCGGGGTGGGGGTGGGGGCCGGGGGCGGGGACTCCCCTCCGCTCCCCCTCCCCCGCGCCAGCGGCGCCGAGCGCGCCAGGCTCGCCCGGCGCACTCGCTGAGCGGAGGAGGCAACAGCGCCGCCGCCCGGGCCATCGCGATCAGATCGACGCTGGGCCTGACGCCGCGACCGCCACCGCGGCCGGGCTGAGCCCCCGGAGGGAGCGACGGTGGGAGAGAGGGGGCCCGCCGTCCCCCGCCGCCCCGGCACCCCCGCCCTGGCGGCGGCTCGGCCGCATGCTTCAGATGGTAAAGACCCTGGCCCAGTTCACCATCGCGCTGGAAGACATGCGCGATCTGGGCCCGGCCACCGCCTCCGGGGAGCCCGCCGGGAGCAGCGGTGCTGACGCTGAGGAGCCTGGGGAGGCCCAGGTACCGGGAGGGGGAGAGACAGCCAGGGACCTTGGCCAAGACCTAGAACCCAGCGGCCCCGGGCCTGGGGGAGGAATGGGTAGATGCTGGGGCGCAGGACCAGGAACTTGGATCAGGCACACCAGCTTCCTGGCCGAGGGCCTGGGGGCTCAGAGACTAGTGATGGGGGCAGGGAGACTGAGGGTATGAGGAGTCCTGGCAGGGGTGGTGTGGCTGGCAGGGCGCTGAGGTTTGGTGCCACCAGAGTGCAAGCTTGGGATGGCAGAAGGGCTGGCAACCTCAACTGGGGTGGGGGGCCTGTACCCCGAGACCCAGCCTTGGCAAGGCCTGGTGGTTCGTAGTGCGTGATATGGGTCAGCGTGTAGGCAGAGCCTGTCTCCAGAGGTATCCTGGGTTCACAGGCTCGGGAAGGAGAGGTTTTATCAGCCTCTCTCCAGCAGGCCTGTGGCAGTCCCCAGGTGTACGTGTGTGCTGGGGGGATGGGGCATTGGGAATAGCCGCTTTTGCTCCCGTTTTGCCATTCTCTCCCTGCCACTGGACCCGCTGGGCCTGGGAGGTGTCATGCTGTGGTGGCAGTGGTGTCCCCATTCCTGGCTCCGTGCTCGCCTCTGGGGGAAGAGGAGGGGGAGGCTTCCAGGGGCTGTGTCCATGCCTTTGTGTGATTCTCTGGGCCCAGACTCTGATTGTCCTGCTCTCCTGGGCTCCCGTGGGGGCTCTGGTTCTGTCTTCCTCCCCATGCTGTGGTGTGTGTGTTTCTCCCCGCCACCTCACATCTCTGGGCTGAAGGCCCTGGTTCTCAGCTAGGTGATTTGGCTACATTTCTTTTTGGTCTCTTTGCGGAGTTCTGGCCTTTACGGCTTCTTCTGTGTACATGTGTCTCTGTCTTCACGCTGTGTGTATAGGTCTTAAGCTTTGGGTCATGCTGTCCCAATCATACTGGTAGGAGAGGCCCCCCTCTATCTTCCTGCCATATCCCTTCAGCCCCCCTCCCTCTCCCACTTCAGCGCCCCCTGTAGTAAAGGTCTGAGGATGGGGCTGTTGAGGGGTGACGGGCTCTGGGGGGAGGCTGGGCCTCTGGGGGAGGCTAGGCCTACAGGGCTGTCCCGCCCAGAACAGGTGGGCCTGCTGATCTGCTTGACAGCTGCATTGCCCGTCTCCTGCTTCCCCTGGCTCCCCCACCCGCACATGCATTCACACCCGTGTCTGGGCACGTGCAGAAGGGCACTCCATGCAGTGACAGGGAGCTGGCCTTAATTTCCGTGCCTCTACCTGACAGCTGAGTGACAGCCCACTGTGTTTTCAAGCAGGAGGAGGCTGGGAAAGGCGGGTGTTGCAGCGTCAGCCTCCCTGCGTGAGTTACCCCAGCCCTCTGAGCTGGCAGGCCCAGCCCCAGCCCTCCCTCCCCCAGGAGGCCTCCCTGCCTGTGACCCTCACCCCAGGGCCTAGCAGGGCCAGGCCCGGGGAGTGGAAGGGGGAGGGAGGCTGGGCCACTCAGGGCCAAGCCTGGCCTGGTTCTGCTCTCAGGGAGCTCCCTGTCCAGCAGGGAGATGGATATAGATGAACCATTTTGCTGAGGTAGAGTAAGAATGGACATTGAAGACCCAGCATGTGTGGAGAGAGCTGCCCTGCTCCCAGCTCCTTGCTTTCACAGTCCTGGGAGGAAGGCATTATTCATTCCGTTTCATAGAGGAGAATGTGGGAACGTAGGGCAGTTAGGTGACTATCCAAGGTCACACAGCTAGTAACGGACCCTGTGGCCCGTGGCTGGCCAGTCAGTCTGGGCAAGAACTCTGGGTGCTTGGGCCCTAAGACTCAACATGAGGTGGCTAAAGAGACTCGGGCTGGGGCGCCTGGGTGGCTCAGTCAGTTAAGCGTTTGACTCCTGGTTCCAGCTCAGGTCATGATCTCAGGATTGTGAGCTTGAGCCCCACATCAGGCTCTGTGCCCAGTGGGGAATCTGCTTGAGATTCTCTCTCGCCCTCTCCCTCTGCCCTTCCCCCTGCTCTTGCACACGCTCTTGCTCGCTCTCTCTCTCTCTCTCAAATAAATCTTAAAAAAAAATAAAGAGACTCGGTCCCCACTCTGCCAGTCACTGGCTCTGTGACCTTGGGCAAGTCAAGTCACCTCTCAGACTTGACTACCTCACCTGTAAAGTGGAGATGGTGACACCTTTGAGTGTAGGCAGAAATGAGCCATATCTGTGAAGTGCTGAGAGGGCCCTGGCGGACAAGGGGAGGATTGGGCATCCGGGCCTTTCCTTGGGAGGCCCTTCTGACCTTTGACGCTCTCCCAACTCTCCATCCTAGGGTGGGCCCAACTGGTGTTCCTTCCTACTAGAAGCTGCCCTGCTGTTTTAAAGGCCTTTGAATCACTGAGGATAGATGATCTGGCTGTAGCTGGGGGCTCTGAGGCAAAGCCCAGTGTCTTCTCACCCATCAGAGCATGCAGCTGGTAGGGGTGGGGCAAAGCCAGTCTCCTCCCCTCCCTCGAGGGAGAGCCATTCACACCGCCCCCAACCGTGAGTTCCTAGCACAGGAGCCTACTTTTCTGAGTGTGTCTCATTGTTGACAGGTTTGGGGACAGACCTGGCCCCGAGTCCCTGAGTCAGAGGGAGGGGGTTACAGGGAGGTGGGCAACCATCTGGTGAAGTCTTCCTGGAGAAGGAACGGGCCAGAGGCATAGGAGCTGGTGGCAAGGAGCAGTAGATAAGCTGAGTCCCAGGGAGTCAAACACAGAGAAGGCGTCCTCTGTCTGGCCTCTAGCAAAGCCTTCCCACAGAATAGGGCTGCCCTGTCAGGGATGCACACCCTATCCCTGGAGGTGTGGATGCAGAGTCTGTGTGACCCCTCAGGGACTCCCTACTGCAGACCATCTGATGCTTAGGATGGAGGCATTAGTTCCTGGGTCTCCTTTCCCCCATCCTTAAAATGGGAAGAAGAACAACATCTACCTCACAGGGTGGTCAGGACAATGAAATAATATATGCTTAGAACAGTGCCTGGTGTGGAGTAGGGCTCAGTTAACCTTTTTAACTGAGAGAACTGATATCCAGCCTTGTCTGAGAGTGGGTGAACCCTGCCCCTACCTGGCTGTGTGACCTTTGGCACTGACTTCCCCTTCCTGAGCCACCTTTTCTTCATCTGTGGCAGGCAGCCACAGTTTGCACTCTCAGGGATGGGATGAAGCCCAGTCTAGTAGGGTCTGACTCCATAGCACTGAGCCGGAAGGAGGGGTTTTCAGAGTTTGCAACTGGAGTGGGGCGTGCCCTGGAGGCATCTTCCTTTGCAAAGGTGAGAGGTTATTGATTGTTTTGAGTCCTTTTCAGGAGCCCAGTGGGTAACCTCGAAGTGCACAGGAGATCATCAGCTCTGCCGGCAGCCATGGGGGTGGTGGTGGAGGAGTAAGGGGCACACCCTGGAAAGAGGGGCATTTGAGATGTAGGGGGAGGGCGCTCCCCGCACAGGGAGCATGAGAGCAAGTTCCTGGCCGAGTGGAGGTCCATGGTGCTCTGGGGTAACAGCCAGCAGCCATGGATGGTGGGAATGCAGGCCTTGAAGGCCAGGGAGAGGATGAGGATGGGCTCTCTGGGTCCAGGTGACTGCAGGGGTCTGAGGGGAACAAGGTCCTGCTCACCCTCTGCCTTCTGTCCCCCAAGGACATGCGGAAGCACGTGACCATGACCCTGCTGGACACGGAGCAGTCCTATGTGGAGTCGCTGCGCACCCTGATGCAGGTGAGGCTCAAGGCCGGACCAGGCCCCCTGAGAGCGGCCATTCTGAGTCTAGGAGGCCGTCAAACATGTGGGAACAAACCCATTTTGTGGACAGGGGATGGGGGCTAGAGAGGAGAGAGGAATGACCCTGGGTAACATCACCCCTCCGTGGAGAACCCCCCCATCCTGTGACTGTCCCAGAGAAGGAATCCCCCTCCAGGGTGGGAGGGAACATAGAGGGGACTTAATAAGGCCAGACAGGCCACCCCAGGGCAGGTGCTCCCTCCTTTTACTGTCCTGCCACCTCCCCCTGGCGGCCCCATGCCTCGGCTTAGATCTGTGCCCCCGCCAACTGTAGCCCTGTCCATTTTATTCATTGACTGGGAAAATAATTGTTGAATGGAATAAAATGTTGAGCACCTGCCGTGTGCCAGGCCCTGTTCCGGGCATAGGAAACACGAGGACGAATAAGAGAGACAAGCTGCGCCACAGGACCTCATAGTCCCGTTCAGGGCATAATTGAGTATATGGTCACTCTCAAAGCATTGAGGGGGCACCTGTGAGGTGTGGGGTCAGGGTATTTTTCCCTGGAGGACGTGCTGGCTTCCTCCCCACCTGTCTTGTCAGCAACAGGAACAGCAGGTGCAAAGTCAAGTAAGGAGAGGCCGGCACAAAGCACAAAGGGTTGGTCCTCTGGGGATGCTGGGGGAGCCAGCAGGAGCCACGTGGTAGGGGCCTTGGATACCAGGAAGAAGGTTTGGACCCTACCAGGGGCCCTGGAGAGTCAGCAAAGGGCTTTGAGCCGGGGTGGCATGTCATCTGATTCATGCTTTATAAAGTCTGACTGCTAGGAAGGTGGGCAGCAGCAGAGGAGGCCAAGGCCACTGAGGGTAGGCAAGGGAGGAGAGGCCAGGACCAGGGCAGAAGCCACAGGGAGGAAGCGTTGGGACAGACATTCAGGAGGTGGACTGGTCAGGCCAGGCATGGTAGCTGGTCGGCTGTGGGATGAGGCCTGGACTCCTGGTCTGGGTGACGGCAGCACTGGAGGAACCCCACGTGTGAAAGTTGGGGAGAGATGGCCAGATCAGGTTCCGGCGTGGGAAAGCCCCTGAGTCAGGATGCACATGCGGGCCTGGGGCCCAGGGCAGAGGGTGTGGATCCCAGCTGAGGTGGGGCCTGGCAGGTACGGTTGAGGACGAATTTACTCAAGCCATCTAGGCAGAGTGAGAGCAAAGAACAGAAGGTAGAGCCCTGGAAAGATCCAGAGTGTTCATTCATTTACTCCACAAATCTGCAACGAGCATCTTCTGGGTGCAGACCGTGTTCTCAGTGAGGGTTCAGCAGTGAGCATGAGTGATAAGGTCCTGTCCCCTGGAGTCTATGGCAGAGACTGACAGTAACCAGTCAGACAAACCTTATACGTGAGGACAAATGCGGGTGCAAAAGTGTACGGAGGGTGTTTCTGTAGCAACTGAGTATCGTTCAGCCAGAAAAGGGAGGAAATTCTGACACGTGCCACAACATGGGTGAACCTCGAGGACATCATGCTAAACTGAAATGAGCCAGTCACAAAAGGACAAATACTGTATGATTGTGCTTCCATGGGGCACTGAGGGTGGCCAAGTTCATAGAGACAGAAAAGTCGAACAGTGCTTGCCAAGGGCTGGGGGACGGGAAGTGGGAGTTAGTGTTTAATGGGTACGGAGTTGTGGTTTGGGAAGATGGGAAAGTTCCGGAGATGGATGGGGATGATGGTTCCACAACAACGTGAGTGTATTTAATGTGAGTACTGAACTGTACACTTAAAAGTGATTAAAATTAGCAAATTTTATGATGTATATTTTGCCACACAAAAAATACATTGCTTTTATATATTAAAAACAAACGCACAGAAAGAGGAGAACACAGAACGGGGGCCTGCCCTGGTGTCAGAGGCCAGGGAGGGCTTCTCTGAGGCTGGGGTGTTCAGCGGAGACCTGAGGGATGGGTAAGCATTCAGCAGCGGGAGAGCCTGGAGGGAACCATTCGGGCAGCGGGTACAATAGGAACAAAGGCCAGGAGGCTGGAAGAAACCTCGAGCAGTTAGCCATGGAGAGGTGGCCGGGGCGGCTGCTGGGCCAGGTGCTGGGACACAACCAGAATGCCATCTTTAAGAGATGCCCTTGGCTGCCAGGCAGCAGTAGTCATGCTGGGGTCCAGCAGAGCGTGGGGTCCTTTGTGGTCCCCTAGGTGGGAGTTGAAGGCATTGGGGTCAGGCAGTCCAGGGTTTGAGTCACTCGCCTCCCTGCTGGGTGATGCTAGCCTAGTCACCTCACTTCTCTGAGCCTCGGTGTTTTTGTGTGCAAAATGTGACTAATCATACCCGTATCCCAGCGTGAGAGTGCAAAGGTAACGAGGCTGCTCATGCCTTGTTCACACACCCGAGGCCGGCGGGACCCGGGCATGTCTCTCTACCTTCGAATCTCCTGGCCAGTTCACGGCTGCACACGTGGAGACTTGCCGGACCTGCCGGTGGAAGAGCTAAGGGGGGATAGTTCTCAGGAGGCCAGATTGAGAGTGTGGGTGGTGAGGGGTGGAGATGGGCAGGAGAGTGTCAGCCGAACCCCAGGACTGTCACTCAAAGCAGCCCGGGTGTGTCACAAGGACTGAGGTCCAAGCCAGGCCACCAGTGTTCAAACTTGGCACACCTCCTGACCGGCCATGTCACCTGAAGCAAGTTACATAACCAGTCTCTGCTTCAGGGTCCTTGTCTGCAGAGTGGGGATAATAATGGTGACTACCTGTTGAGTGCAGACTGCAAGAGAGATGCATGTGTAATTTAGCATACTGCCTGGCACATCTGCACGTGTGCATGTGTGTGTGAGTGCATGTATATAAAATCATATCTAATCCTTACATTAACGTTGTCAGGTAGGTATTATAACTCCCTCTTCGTATGAGGAGATGAAGGCTCAGAGAGGTTAAGAAAACTCCCCAGGGTCGTCCATCTATTAAGTGGTATTCTAGTCCATTTGGGCTGCTAGAACGAAAATTCCACAGACTGGGTGGCTTGAACAAATACAGATTCAGTTCTCATAGATCAAGGCGCTGGCAGATTTGGTGTCTAGTGAGGACCCACTTCCTCCTTTTCACTGTGTCCTCCCTGGTGGGGGGGTTGAGGGAGCTCTCCGGGACCTCTTGTAGAAGGGCACAAATCCCATTCGTGAGGGCCCCGCTCACATGACCCACTCACCTCCCAAAGGCCCCGTCTCCAAATACCAGCACGTTGGGGACTAGGTTGGAGCATAAGGATTCTGGGGGGGATACATGTGGTAATACCGAGAGCTGACGTTTATTGAGTGCTTCATATGTGCACTTTACATAAGTTAAATCATACAAATCTCATAATAACCCTCATTTTACAGATGATGAACCTGAGACACAGAGACGTAAAGCAACTGTTCAAGGTCACAGAGCGGGGAATTGCCACACCCTGGGTGAATCCCTGTCAGTCTGACTCCCTCTCACCAGCTAGTCTGCACTGTCTGAGCATATCAGTGCTATTCAAGCTGAGACTGGACTCCACAGCCCTAGTGTCCCCTCTCAGTGACCACTGCCACCCACACTGACTGGTATCGTTCCTGCAAGCCAAGAGTTTTGTTCTTTTTTATTTTTTAACTGAGGCATAGTTGACACACAGTGTTACGTTAGTTTCAGCTGTAGGCCAGGAGTTTAAAATGAAGAAATACCAAGGTTAACAGCCAGAGCCGATGGGGTTTGAACCCACGTCCTAAGGCTACACCTTTCCTCAGTGTCATCCTCACACTTTGAGTCTTTCTTCAACCCCCGAATTCCCAGCCAACAACCCCCCTTTTCCCTGACCCAGCCCCCTTCTCCCAGCACTCCTGACCCTGTCTTTTTCCCCATAGCACTTACTGCCTTCCAACACACGTGTCATAATTTCATTATTTATGGTGTTTATTTTCTGCCTCCCTCCACTGAGGTGTCAGCTCCACAAGCACCAGGACTTTTGTCTGCCCTCAGGTGCTGCCTGGTGCTTAGAAGGCCGGACACTCAGTAGTTGCCCAGCAAGTACACCGTGAGTGGGTGCAGGCGTTGGTTCCTAGGAGGTTCTGGATCAGGTTCTCTGCTTAGTCTTTCTTCCCACTGTGTGCCTGCTTCTGTGTGGGATGCGGTTTAGCTCCTCTCGGTGTGGGGCAACAGCGCCCCACCCCCCCCACCCCCCGCCAGAGAAGACCCTAGCTCAGACTGGCCTAAGAGCTGTAAGAGGGAGGCTGCCTGCCTATCTCACCATCACCCCCTGACCTTTTAAGAATCCCCAACCAGGCAAGAGGATTCTGTTGAGCTTGACTTTTTCAAGGCTGTTTTATCAAACAAGCCAATTTTTAACAATGTTTAATATAAATTTTATTGCAACATTGCGTTACTTTTTCAAACATCAATTCTTGGGCTTGTAGTTATAGTTTAGGCCAGTAGAGGGCGACCGCTCCGTGAGCACACCTGCCGCAAGCAGGGCTCTTCATTCTCACGAAATGGGCGGTGAAGCAGATTTGAGGTGAAAAAGAGGAGTTTTAATCAGACTTGACCAGTAGATCTGAAAACCGTGAAGTCAGTGCTCAGACAGTGGCACTAAAGGCCTCCCAGGCACCCCCTTGCTTTATTTTCCCCACAGCGGGTCTCAAACTTTCCACACATAACTGATTCTAAGATAAACATCTGGAACTCCAGGTTCATCCTATAATTAATGGCATATAATAACTTAATTGGCAGCGGTTTTTTTTCTTAAAGATTGATGAAATGTGGTTTCTTTTTGTTTCTTTCTTGTATTTCGTGTTTCATCTGACTAGACTGTAAGCTCTACTAGGGCAGGGAGCTTGGTCTTCCTTGTTCACTGCTGAACAGTGGCTAGCACAGAGTGAGTTCCCAATAAAATGTCTGCTGAGTTAGTGTGTGTGGGTTTCCCAGGAGGCCAGTCTTCTTGCTTTCCTCACTCCAAGCTCTGCTTGTTTGTGCATCCAACAAACTTTCCCCGAGCCCACTCACCCCCGTCTTATGCCAGGCCCCGAGCCGCACAGTGAGGGGCATGGGGATAGGTCTTCCTGTCTCCCTCTTAGAGCTCTGAGTCTAACAAGGGAGATCTGGGAGTCACAGGGCCAGGTGATTTCGTGTGCACCTACGTCAGGGGGTTGGGGTGCCATCCCTCTGAGGGTACCCGCACTGACCTGTGGGGGACCCCCAGGGCTACATGCAGCCGCTGAAGCAGCCCGAGAACTCCTTGCTGTGTGACCCGTCACTGGTGGATGAGATCTTTGACCAGATCCCCGAGCTCCTGGAGCACCACGAACAGTTCCTCGAGCAGGTGCGGCACTGTGTGCAGACCTGGCACGCCCAGCAGAAGGTGGGAGACCTGCTTGTCCAGTCGGTGAGTGGCCCTGCTGTCTGCCGCTTCAACCCCCACAAGCTTGGGCCCTTCCTGGAAGGGGATAGCTGCTGCCATGGACCCCTCACCCACACCCACTCCACTTGCACACTGACTCTGATCCCAGATCCAACCCCAGGACTTGACCAGACACTGGCACTGACTCCAGCCCTGGGGTTGACCTGAACCTGGACACCACCAAACCCCAGAGCTTCGCTAGACTCTGGCCTGGGCCCCAATCCCAACCAGTTACCGACCCTAATCCTGGACCCAGTTCTAGTTGCTGGCACCGACTTGACCCTAGTCCTGACCTTGAGCTGGTGCTGACACAGACCTCAGTGGATGCTATTACTGACCTCAGCCCTTACCTTGACTAGCTCTTTTCTCCATCCAGCATTTTAATAGGATAGCTATTTGGCACTTCATACTAGCCATTATTCTGAATACGTTATATATGTTCACAAGTCTAGGAGAAAGGTGCAGTTATTCCCCCAAGTTTAAAGTGGATGACTCTGCAGCGTAGAGAGAAAGTAACCTGACCAAAGTCATGGTTAGTGAGTGGTAGAGGGTTCGACTCCAGGAAACGCGGCCCCAGTGCCCACACCCTGCCCCACTCTGTGCCCCCTTGCACCAGGAGCAGACCTGCCTGTGAGCTCTTCAGGATCCTACCATAGTGAATGGGACCTTAGAACAAGTATTGGCTGCAAAACTCAAAAAGAACTGCAAAAGCAAAACCAGTAAACATTTAATTACGTGTCTGTAAAAACATAGCATGCGATTTTCTTTAATTGTTACGTGTAGTATTCATTTATACGAGGTTAATTACGTTTGAAAAAACTTAAGATACATTTTGTTATTTGGCCAGAATTCCCAAGAATGCATGGTGATGACTGATAAATCATAGCCAAACACAAACTAAAATGGTTACTCAGAACCAAATAATTTCAAAAGCAAAATGGTAAAACTCCTTCCAAAAATTATACCAGGAAAAAAAAAAGTCTTATCTATTGTTGTGAGATGTGGATGTTTTTTCATGTGTTTGTGATGATGCGGGTGGGCCTTGGGCCTAAGAAGGTCTTAGAAGGTGCCTGCTGATCTGGAACTGATGTGACAAACCCTGATGGGACCCCCGTTGAGTGCTAACCCCTCGAGGCCATCACCACCCTCAGTGTCACCAGGCTCATCCCCTGTCTGGACTTTGATGCTGACCCTGGTCTGATGAGCAGAGGCCCTGGTCCCAGGAAGGGATCAGCAGAGAATGCTCTGCCCCAGGGTGGGCTGGTGGGTAAGGGCCGTCTTCCCCTCCGAGTTGCTGCAGCCTCCCTGGGCCTGGGGAGGAGGACAGTCAGCACCTTAGAGACACAGGGCCTTGTGGGCCCAGAGGGGCCAGAAACAAACACCACCACAGGTCCCCTAGTCCATCCATGGTACAGCTGACCCAGGAACCAGGGTATCCCAACTCCCAGCCAGGGCTTCTGACCAAGAACTTCCACGTTTAGCCCAGCTGTCAGCGGGCCGTCAGGTGTTAGCTACCAGCTGTGTGCCCCCACTGAGCGGGATGTTACTGGACAGGATGGGCGTCCCTATCTCCTCGCAGAGGAAGAGTCCTAGTCAGGGCAGGGAGTGCTTTCTGGAGGAGGCACAGGTGGAGCTTAGCCCTGAGGGTGGGTGAGATTTGGATGTGGTAAGGGCATTCTGGTGGAGAGAATTACATGAGCAATGGCCAAGTGGCTGGAATGAGTCTGTGTCTCTCAGAGGACAGTGAGGAGGGAGACCTGCCTGGCTGGACTTAGTGGGGCTGGAGAGCAAGGGATGGAAATGCCCAGCTGGAAATGGGAGAGCATGGTCTACAGGACACATGTAGGCATATGTATGTCCATGTACACACAAACCGTAGGTAAGATACGTTGGGGTGTGCGCAGATACACAGCAACTCACACAGTCACATGTACGACGTGCACACATGACACAGGAGCAGCTGCCCGATCCCTTAGAGACCATATCATGTCCCGTTGGAGGGAAAGGATGTTGGCTTGTGAATCATTGGAAGCCAGGACAGGGTGAGGTGGAGTAAGGGACACCTTGAAGGTCCCTAACCTGCCTCTGCACCTACAGTTCTCCAAGGACGTCCTGGTCAACATCTATTCTGCCTACATTGATAACTTTCTCAATGCAAAGGATGCCGTGCGCGTGGCTAAGGAGGCGAGGCCTGCCTTTCTCAAGTTCTTGGAGGTACTGTTGGCTAGCTCAGGGGCATGGACATCACCCTCGCCTTGGCCAGCTTTGGGAGGGGGCAGGAGCTCCCACACTCCCAGACACTGCAGCCTTAGCCTGTGGTTCAGTCTTTGCCCTTGGGCTGGGCTAGAGGGACTGGCTGGGGATCTGTCCCTGGACATTTCCTTCTTTGCATGACATTCCTCACACGGGTGCCCATCCCCCTTGTTTCTGGTTTCAGCAAAGCATGCGTGAGAACAAGGAGAAGCAGGCACTGTCTGACCTCATGATCAAGCCTGTGCAGCGGATCCCACGCTATGAGCTTCTGGTGAAGGTGGGCATGGGGTTGGGTGGGCAGGAGGGCAAGGCTGGAAGGCACGTGAGGATGCAGGGGGCTATGAGGCCCCTACTCGGTCAAGCCTGACATCAGAGTCCCCAGGGGTTGGGTAGGAAAAGAAGTCCTCTCTGGAGCCTGCTTATAGTCCGTCCTGCTCTAGCCATCAGTGTGGGGTCCCAGGGCCTGAAAGGGGCAGCTAATAAGCAGGGGTCTTATCCCCATTTCTTCCCCAGGACCTCCTGAAGCACACACCTGAGGACCACCCAGACCACCCACTTCTGTTGGATGCTCAGCGGAACATCAAACAGGTGGCTGAACGCATCAACAAGGGTGTGCGGAGTGCCGAGGAGGCAGAGCGACATGCCCGTGTGCTGCAGGAGATTGAGGCTCACATCGAGGGCATGGAGGATGTGAGTGCCCACCCCCTCCACCCATGCCTTTGTTTGCATCTGTGGTTACCTGCAGTCACGGTCACGTCCACCTCCACAGCGGTGTCTGCAGCGCCTGTGCATCCCTGTCTGTTCAGCGTCCCCACCTGTCTCTGTCCACAGCCATGTCCTCCTCCCTGTCTGTCTCTGGCCACATGTCCCGCGGCCTGACCGCACAGCATCAGGAGGATGGAGGGGATGCTGCTTCTACTGGCCTGGCCCATGGAGTGGGGCCAAGGGGTCCCCCAGGGTCTGGGGAGGAGATGGGATTAATAATTGACCTTCAAGATGTTTTGTCTGTCCTGCCCCACAGCTCCAAGCCCCTCTGCGGCGGTTCCTCAGGCAGGAGATGGTCATCGAAGTGGTAAGAAGTCTCCCGTTGTCTACCCACCTGTTCCCATCTCCCCACTATGTTCACACTTCCGCTCATACCTGCTGTCCTTGGGCCTCCCTGCTCTTCCCCACAACAGGAGTCCCGGGTCGAGTCCCAACTCTGCCTCTGCCTCTGGGCATCTGGGGCAGAGCCCTCACCCCTCTCTGGGCCTGGCTGTCCCCTTGGGCACGGTGGGCAGGAGGGTGGGCCTCTGGGCCTGAGTCCTGCCTCGGGCTCCACAGAAGGCCGTCGGTGGCAAGAAGGACCGGTCCCTCTTCCTCTTCACGGACCTCATCATCTGCACGACCCTAAAGCGGAAATCAGGCTCCCTGCGGCGCAGCTCCATGAGCCTGTGAGTGGCCGGGGCGGGGCTGCACTTGGGCCGGGGCGGAGCAGCTGGCCCTCCCTGGGCCCCGCTCCCCCCGGCCTGGCCAGAGCACCCCCTTGGCTCCCCACAGGTACACGGCAGCCAGCGTCATTGACACGGCCAGCAAGTACAAGCTGCTGTGGAAGCTGCCGCTAGAAGATGCGGACATCATCAAAGGTGGGGCTGGCCTAGGCCTGCCCGGGGGTCCTGGGTGTCCGGGCCCTGCTCTCAGAAGCCCTCCTGGAGGGTCTGAACTGTGGCCAGGCTGGCTGCCCGTATCCATCTGCTTTTCTGCTTTTGGGGCCTTACTTTCCCAGCCAGTACAAGGGGGGTGGCATGCAGGATCGGTGTGCCCGCCACAGAAGCACACCAGGACCTGTCCACGCAGACCACCTTCTGACAGGGCGGGGACCTCACCTAGGCTGGGGCGGCACGGGGGACGCAGACACACCCGCCACTAGCCAGTGGCCGCTGCACCAGTGTCCTATCGGACGGTGACACGCTGCTCTGGTCCCCAGTTTTGCTCGTCGGTAGCAGAGACTCACTCAAGTCAGTCCAAGCAGAAGTCTGGTTGGAAAGATCCAGTTGTTTGGGGCTGAGGCTGTCAGGAGCTGCAGCAGTTTCAAAGAGCTGCTCCTTCTGCTGAGTGTACATGTGTGTCTGTGTCTCCATCTGTCTGTCTCTCTCTGCGTCTGCCTGTTCTCACTGCTCTCAGCTTTCTCTGCTTCCTCCTTCCTTCCAACTCCTGTGATCCATCATGGCCTGTTCTGCATCTTGGCCCTTTCTCCTCGGCTGCTCCAGGATCCGAAGTTTACCTTTCTGAGTGGGGCGGTTGGTCTGGGACGGTTGGTCTGGGACGGTAGTGTGGGCACCTCTGGGCTGGCAGGCAGTGCGGGTCCAGACTCTGTCCCTAGGCTCAGTGCGGTGGCCCCCAGGGCAAACCCAGGCCTGCCTCACATGGGCCCCTGTGTAGGAATACAAGCTGATGATTGTTCCAGTTTGGAACACAGGCCAGTCGATAAAATGACTACCTTTAGTTCAGGTGTCTGCTCCTGGTCCAATCCAGTGTGGTCAGAGTGGGGCGGGGTCATATGGAAGAAACCAGGGCTGCCCAGACAATGAGAGTTGTGGGGGGGACAGTGTCCTTCAGAAGGAGTAGGAGAAAACGCAAGCCTTAGCTTTTCTAGTACATTCCACTGCTGTCTACTCTGCCCATTGGTGGGTTCCTGGTCCAGGGTGGACACCCCCGGCCAGGCAGTGCTGGGTGTGGGGATGCTGAGCTGGCCTGTGGGGCCAGCTACTTGGCTGTGGTCAGGTATGGGATAGGACTAGAGAAATCCAGAGCATCAGCTCATTTTCCCTCCTTTGTCGGGGAATTGAGTCCCTTGGTCAGCAGATTTGACCGCCCGAGGCTCTGGCTGCCCGGCTGACTGGCCTGTGGAGGCCGCACTGCCGAGGCTTCCGGTGTCTGCTGGAGCCTGCAGAAGCTGCACAGCCATCTGCTGTTTATTCTTTGTGCTCGTCCAGGGAGTTCTCCAAGGGACCAGCACCCTGTGCCAAGTGGCTCTGAATCAAGCCCAGCCCCCTGTTCCCAGGCCTGGTGTTTCTCTGTGAGCTGCCTGTCACTTTGTTCCTTGGGTCTTGGGGTTGACAAGCTCTCGGCTTGTCAGGCCACTCCCCACGCTGAGCTGCAGACTGTGAGGGAAGGGAAATTCTCCCCTTCTGTCCAAGCCTGACCCTATCTGCTTCTGTATCTGCCCGTGGCCTTCCTCTGTCCCCACCAGGGGCGTCCCAAGCCACCAATCGGGAGAACGTCCAGAAGGCTATCAGCCGCCTAGATGAGGACCTGACCACCCTGGGCCAGATGAGCAAGCTGTCTGAGAGCCTTGGTTTCCCCCACCAGGTCTGTGCCCTCTGCCTGAGGCTGGGGGAATGGGGCGGTGGGGGTTCCCAGATCTGAGGGAGAGAAAACAGCCTCTTCATTTACCTGAGGAAGAGGTCACTCATCTCTGTCACTTATTGGAAGGGGAAAATACAGCCTCACCGCAACTGAGGGAAGTGATGTGTTCCAGGCCTGAGGGTGGAGACACAGCTCTGTCCCTAGCTGTGGGAGGAGAGGGGGCCCATCATGTCTAGGGGGTTGGGGGGAGAGGCAGGTCCCCACTTGCATTCTCAGGGCAGGAGCAGGCTGTGGGGAGCTGTCAGGGCCTGAGGCCTGGGTCCTCATCCTGGCAGAGCCTGGACGAAGCACTGCGGGACCTCTCAGCCGCCATGCACCGGGACCTGTCGGAGAAGCAGGCGCTGTGCTATGCACTCTCCTTCCCCCCTACCAAGCTGGAGCTGTGCACCACGAGGCCTGAGGGCACGGACTCCTTCATCTTCGAGTTCCCTCACCCTGATGCCCGCCTCGGCTTTGAGCAGGCCTTTGATGACGCCAAGAGGAAGCTGGGTAAGCCAGGCCCATGCTGGTCTCCTCCTTCCAACACCTCCAGGCAGTGGGCAGCACCATGCTGCGGTCTGGGAGATCAGGAGCCAGAAATCCCGAGACTGCGGTGTCCTGTGCTTCAGTCCCTGCTGGTGGGAGGGTGGACTGAGACTCCTACGGGGAAACATGGGACTTCCCCAGGGTCTCACTGGCAGGGAGGGGATTCAGTGGTTGAAAAGGGTGAGCTTAGGGCAGGGCATGCCAGGACGCACCCCCCTGCCCCGCCCTCCCCTCCTCTACATACTCTGAGCAGGCCGAGAGTAGGGAAAGCTATTAATCAGGGTCCATGGCTTAGAAGATCCTTAGAGACTTCTGGGTCTGCCTCCCACATTGTACAGATGGGAAAATTGAGGCCAGGGACAAGCAGAGCATAACCTACAGCTACCTCGTTTTCCCTTGAGAGATCCTGAAGAGCAGGGAAGAAAGGGAAATGGTCGAGGGTGAGGTGGATGCTAAGCGGTGTCTGTTTGTCCACCTCCGCCGCAGCATCCAGCAAAAGCTGTCTAGACCCTGAGTTCCTGAAGGCCATCCCCATCATGAAAACCCGCAGCGGCATGCAGGTGTGTGTGGGGGCCGGGGTCACGCGGGCGCACGTATATTCAAACCAGCACATGTTCATGTGTTTTTGTTTGGGGTACAACATTACGTACCTGTATGAACGTGGCAGTCGCTCCCTCTGTCTTTAAGTGTACAACTCTGCACATGCGTGTGGATACTACGTGTGTCACGTGCACGTGGGTGTGGCCACACACATCTGTGCGTGCCTGGGAACGAGGGCTGTCTGATTCCTGTGAGGTGTCTAAGTCATGCGCTTGTCAGAGTCTGCATACATCGGGACAGAGCTTACCGTTTTTCACATTTGTTACCGCGCACCTGTGGGGTCATATTTAGGGTTTACGTGTGTGTGGATGTATGCGTACACATATGTGTGTGAAGGGATGGTCCATCACACAGGCGTTTGTGCATCTGACCTGCAGAGTGGCACACGCGCCGTGTGTGTGTGTGTACACACGTGTACAGAGGGGTGTACTGGGAGTCCGTGCACAGCCGCGTGGGCCCACCTCCCTCCGCTCCGCCGGCCGCCTGGCGGCGGTGGGGAGCTGGCCGCAGTTCCTCCATCCACCTTCCCCTGCCCTGGTGCTGTCCGCAGTTCTCGTGCGCGGCGCCGACCCAGAGTAGCTGCCCCGAGCCCATGCCCGAAGTGTGGGTGTGCAACAGCGACGGCTACGTGGGCCAGGTGTGCCTGCTGAGCCTGCGCGCCGAGCCCGACGTGGAGGCCTGCATTGCCGTCTGCTCCGCCCGCATCCTCTGCATAGGTGCCGTGCCCGGCCTGCAGCGCCACGGCCACAGGTGAGGCCGGGGACGGTGGGGGGGCCAGCGGGACAGATCCCTGCCCCCGACCCCTCTGGCGACTTAGTCTGGTGGACGGGGCGGGCCTGGTGGGCTTGTGGCCGAGGGGCGCAGAGCCTCGGCTCCTGGCAGCTCTCATCCCCACTGCTACATCTCACAGGGAGCGTCCGGCCTCGCTGAGGAGTGCCCCAGAGACGGCACTGGAGACCCCCGGTCCAGAACTGGACGTCGAGGCCGCGGACGAAGAAGCAGCGACGCTGGCAGAGCCAGGGCCCCAGCCCTGCCTGCACATCTCCATTGCAGGCTCGGGGCTGGAGATGACACCGGGCCCCACCGAAGGGGACCCCCGCCCGGAATTGGTGCCCTTTGACAGCGACTCCGATGATGAGTCTTCACCCAGCCCCTCGGGAACGCTGCAGAGCCAAGCCAGCCGGTCCACCATCTCCTCTAGCTTTGGCAGTGAGTGCCCGGCTTGGGGCTGTCAGGCAGGGTGGACTGCACAGAGGAGGGGGCACCCAGCAGGTACTGATGGGTGGGCAGGGGGGCTGTGACACCAAGGACCCAGAGGGCAGTGGGTCAGTCAGGCCAGATCCTGAAGACCCTGGAATGCCCGGTTAAGTAGGGAAGATGGAGTAGGGGTGGAGCGGTTGATCCCCCTGTCCACGATGTGGTGGTGGATTGGAGTGGGCCAGGTCAGAACTAGGAGCCGGTAGCACTAAACTGTCCCCAAGCAGAATAACAAGGCCTGAGCTACGCTGACACCTCGGGAAAGGGACAACAGGGCTGGGAGGCCCTCAGGAGGGACATGGCCAGGAGGGATGCACTGAGGGGGGATGGGGGCCTAGAAAGATACAAGGTCTTGGGGCCGGCAGAGGGGAATGGAGGTAGAGAACTTTGTCTCCCTCAGATGAGGAGACCCCGAGCTCCAAGGAGGCTACGGCAGAGACGACCAGTTCAGAGGAGGAGCAGGATCCTGGCTTCCTGCCACTGTCTGGCTCCTTCGGGCCTAGCGGTCCCTGCAGCACCAGCCCAATGGATGGGAGAGCCCTTCGCCGCTCCAGCCGTGGCTCCTTCACCCGGGGCAGCCTTGAGGACCTGCTGAGCGTTGACCCCGAGGCCTACCAGAGCTCTGTGTGGCTGGGCACTGAGGATGGCTGGTAGGGGGGCAGGACAGGGGCTGGGGATGCAGAACCCCGAGCTCTCTGCTTGGGAAATCATATGGTATCCTGAAGAAGAAGCAGGAGGGCTTGGGGTCAGACCTCAGGAGTACTGCCAGCCAGGGCTGCTAAGGGTTCTGAAGCCCACAGGGAGGCTTTGGGATCTCAGTACCTTGGGCCGACACCTGGCAGCGGGGAGATGGTGGTGGAGGCAGAGGTGGAGGGCGAACTTCAGGGGCTGGTGTAGGCAAGCATCGGTCACAGGTGCACACACCCCTGATCCACAGCGTCCACGTGTACCAGTCCTCCGACAGCATCCGCGACCGCAGGAACAGCATGAAGCTCCAGCACACAGCCTCTGTGACCTGCATCCTGTAAGGCCCTTGGGTAGTCCTCCTGGTCCAGACCCTTCTACACATGCAGGCCTCCTCTGGTCACCCAGCTCTCCCTGCTCTACTGGCCCCGCCTTTCTGTGGAGGCTGGAGGCCCGAGGCCTCACCCTAGGCTAGCCGTACCTCTCATGCACCATGTGGCTGTGGGCAAGTCACTACCCCTGCCTAGCTCAGACTCCCCCGCCTGCAGTGGCGGTCTCTCAGGAACCGTAGCCGTCATGTCTGTGATTCCCTTGGCCCCAGGTGACCTCCTCTGGCCTCCTGAAACCCCTGACTGCTCCTTCTTTTCTCTGCCTAGGTATCTGAATAACCAGGTGTTTGTGTCTCTGGCCAATGGAGAACTTGTGGTCTACCAAAGAGAAGCAGGTGAGTGCCCACCGCACCCCACCCCGCCGATGTTGCTGGCGTAGGCACTCTCCCCGAGGCCCGTGAGTCTGGAGACGTGGCTTTGGGCACCTCTCAGGCCCTCTCTGGGCCTTGGTGTCCTCATGTACAGATGGGGTTTTTAGCACTTCGTTTCAGGGTGTGAGGGTGAGACGCTAGTGCGATACCAGACTGAATGTGCTCTGTTTTCCTTCTCCGGCTCCCACTCCAGGCCATTTCTGGGACCCCCAGAACTTCAAGTCAGTGACCCTGGGTTCTCAGGGGAGCCCCATCACCAAGATGGTGTCTGTGGGTGGGCGGCTGTGGTGTGGCTGCCAGAACCGAGTCCTTGTGCTGAGCTCCGACACACTGCAGCTGGAGGTACTGCTGGGGGGTGGGGGTGGGGACAGAATTGGTGATTTGGGGTAAGCCTGGCCCGTGAGAGAGGGGGGAATGAGACCACGGGGGCCATAAGAAAGCATCCATCTGTCCAGGGAGAGGCCAATGATTGATCTGAAAACGCTTCAAGCTTTAATATTCTCTGGTCACAGAGTCATTGAGTTGCAGGGGAAAAGGCAGCTCCATTTTAATTCCCGAGGCTTAAAGGGGGGGGCTTCAGTGGTCTGGCTTCACCCAGACCAAGGAGCAAGGCTGCCTTTGCTGTCAGTCCTGGCGGGTTTTCTGGAGAGGTTCGGTGTGAGTTGTAGGGGTGAGGTGGGTGATGGTGGGGAACGAGGCAGGGAAGGGCCAGGGAAGGCAGGCCCGCCAGTCACCCCTGTGCCCTCTGCCTGCCCCTCCCACCGCTCCGACCAGCACGCGTTCCACGTGGGCCAGGATTCCAGCCGCAGCGTGGCCTGTATGGTGGACTGCAGCCTGGGGGTGTGGGTGACGCTGAAAGGCAGCGCCCACGTGTGTCTCTACCACCCGGGCACCTTTGAGCAACTGGCAGAGGTAGACGTCACACCTCCCGTGCACAGGATGCTGGCAGGTACTGACCTCCGGCCCCCGCCGCCCCTTCCCTTGGAGTCCTTCCGCCCCATCGCTGAGGAGGCTGAGCCGGGGCCCGGATGCGGCCCCAGCTCTGGTCCGTCTCACCCCCTAGGCTCGGACGCCATCATCCGGCAGCACAAGGCTGCCTGCCTGAGGATCACGGCGCTGCTGGTGTGCGAGGAGTTGCTGTGGGTGGGCACCAGTGCCGGCGTCGTGCTCACCATGCCCACCTCACCCAGTACCGTCAGCTGCCCGAGAGCGCCCCTGAGCCCCGCCGGCTTAGGCCAGGGACACACTGGCCACGTCCGCTTCTTGGCTGCAGTCCAGCTGCCAGACGGCTTCAACCTGCTCTGCCCGACCCCACCGCCTCCCCCAGACACGGGTGGGTCTGTGCATCCTCCCCCAACCCAGGGATCCTGGACTCTGCTTAAGATTTGCCTCTGTCTCGCCAGAAGAGGTTCCAAGAGGGAAGAAGAGTGTGGTCCAGAGCTGGAAGTGGCATATATGCCAGGAAATCGGCTCCAAAGTCCCCAAAATAAAACCTTCTAGGGTATGGGGTGTGTGCAAAAACTCGGTCTAGAAGCATCACAGGAGACAGGCAGTGAGCTATAAGAACTGTAGCCTGAGAACTAGACGGTGGCCCAGCAAGGGATGCATACGGCAGGGAATCGAAGCGGACCAGAGATGCGGTCTAGGGCAAGGCGTCAGGGAGTGACGGGCAGAGCGGGAAACAGCAACAGCAAGTAGAACACAGAACGGCAGGCAGGACAGCCGTGGACTGTGAGGATTAGCAAGTGAAACGTGTTAGGAGATGGCATCCGTCAAGGAGGGCCACAGTGAGCCGAGGCTTGCTTTGACTGGGCAGGAAACCGTATTCCCCCGAGGAGGCGGCTGTGGGAATCTGGAAGCAGGGAAGCCTCGGGCAGGAGCCGTCCGCGCCCGCAGAAGACCGAAGCTCCCCAGCTGGGAAGGGGCTGTTGGAAGCAGGAAGCTGCTTGAGGAGGACAGTACATGTGCGATAGAGGGAGAGAGAGAGAGGGGTGTGGCCCTGAGAACTTATGTCACTCTTGACTAGAACGCACAGATAAGAGGTAAGAAGTTGTGTGACTGCCAGGAAGTGGGTATTTCTTTCCAAAGAAGTTCTTGGCTAACAGGAAGTAGGATCCCCCACAGAAAGTGCGCCTTTCTTCTTGTCTTCTGAGGTGCAGGCCCTTAGGGGACAGCACAGCCATCAGTCAGCCCCCGGCTAATGGACCCTCTCCCTCCACCCCCCAGGCCCTGAGAAGCTGCCATCCCTCGAGCACCGGGACTCCCCTCGGCACCGAGGACCTGCCTCAGCCAGGCCTAAAATGCTCGTTATCAGTGGAGGTGACGGCTATGAGGACTTCCGACTCAGCAGTGGGGGTGGTAGCAGCAGTGAGACCGTGGGCCGAGACGACAGCACAAACCACCTCCTCCTATGGAGGGTGTGACCCTGTCCACTGTGGCCCAGGACTTGCCCTCCCACCGCCCGCAGCCCGCTTGCCTCTTCCTAGCCCACACTTCCTAGCAGACTCTGACCAGGAGCGTCCCGCCAGGGGCACCCCTGTGCCTGCGTGGGCTCCCTCCCATCCGCACGGAAGTATTCCTGGTGGAACACCTGCTGGCCAGCGGGCCGGGGCCTCTCCCGACCCTCTGGCTGCTTCGGTACTCCCAGTCATCATGGGGGTGGGGCAGGGGGCATGTGGGCTGCCCAGGACCTCTGTCCCTGGAGCTTCTACCAAAGACACGGCCGGGCCTGGACCCCATGGGGCTCGGGAGGGCCATGTGCAATATTTGGAGGGTTTTCTGGGGGCAGTGGGAGGGCTGGGGACAGAATCCTTTCCCATGTACAGTATTTATGTTCCTTTTTAGATGTGTACCTTCCCAAGCACTTATTTATGCAATGACCTGGGCAGGGGGTGATTTGAGGAAGTCACAGAAGGGAAAAGACCCTATTCCTGCTCTGGGGGCCACCCTGGGACCCTAAGCGAGCCTTCCTGGAAGGACCAATCCCCCCCTCATTACATACTTGCGAACATGTGTGCACATACACATGGGTGTGCAGGTATGCGCGTGCACACGCACACACACACACTGCATGTTCAGGGCACTAAAACATTGCCTCTCAACATACACTTTCCACGGCCTTGTCCTGATTGGGCTGCCCTCCAGTATCCAGAGCCAAGGACCAAGCACCCTCAGTCATCCAGAACAAGGTAATGACTGCAAGGGGCAATGATTCCCATGCGGGGGCCTCCCCAGGCCTTGGCATTTCCTAACTTGTTGGCAGTGCCTTTAGTCGTTTCCAAATTTGGTAACACTGATAGGGAGTTGGACAGGGCTCTCTCTCCTGGCCTGAGCAGGGAAAAGGAAAGGGCCCTTGTTCTCCTCAGAGCTGCCCCCCAGCCCCTGTGTCTCATGCACTGGCACGTATGGTCACCTTGGGAGGGTGGGCCTGGGAGGCCCCCCACTCTGACCATTGAGACCCTCTCTTCACACCCTTCCTGCCAGGGCAGTCCCTCCAGGAAGAATGCCCAAAGCTGAGGGGCTGGACATGGCCTCTTCAACTGGGAACCACTTGCGGGCAGGCTCTTCCCTGCTCCCTGGCCTGCAAGAGCCAGTCTGACCCCCAGGCCCCTTGCTTCTTCAGCTACAGCTCCAAAGGTCTGGTTTCAGATGGGGTTTGTTTGGTTCTGTTTTTGTTTGGGGTGCGTGGGTCATTGCGGTCTTAGATTATGTTTCTCTTGCTACCAAACAGTCATGTATTAACTTTCCTTGGATGATGAATTTTAAAGAGTCAATAAATAGAAACACCAAATGACCACTCCCCATCGGTGGCATGGTGGCCCCCAGCCACCAGCCTCAGGGCTCCCCGGCTGATGGGCCTCCCAACACCCACTCACTTGAGCAGAAGGGAGGGCTCAGAGACCCAGAACAGAAGGGTGCTGGGATGGCAAGCCCACCACTCTGCTGTGTTATCCCGGGCAGGTCGCTGCCCCTGTCTGGGCTGTAGCTCTCTTGTCAGGAAAACGAGGCCTCATGCCTGTTCACAGCTTTGTAACCAGGGCGACATGTTAGAATCCCTCACAGATTACATGTGTGAATATAAAGCATGATACATAATTACATGTCCATGTAAGTCTACATTCCCAGGCTCCCCACAGCTCCTCAGTCACTGGGCCTGGGATGGGGCTTGGGAGTCCGAAGCTGACATGGGCAGCACGTGAAAAACAAGGTGACCAGGAGACTGTACAGCTCCTGAGGAAACGATGTTCTGCAGCAAAGCCTCCTGTGAGGCTGGGGAATCTGACAGAAGCCAAGGTGACTTCAGGTTTTGGAGCAAGGGTAGAATCCCGGTCTGTCTGATTTCTGGTCCAAAGTGGTACGTCATTAAGTCAGACATAGTGCAAAGGCCAACCCCACGGGGCTGGCCAGTCCTCACAGGGCGGATCCCTTCCCACCGGGGTCCCCCTCACAGAGCTCAAGATGGCAACCACTCGTAAAGGGCGGAGCAGGCCCCCGGCTCTGCTGAACACGTCAGAACATCTTTCAATCTAAGTAACCTAAGTGATGAACACTTTACACAAATCAGTTGCTCAAGGGGGAGTGTAGGTTCATGCTTTGCACGCTGGCATACACACATCTCGGGTCCGCTGGGCCCTCAAGGCCACGGGACATGCTTGGAGTATCTCCCCACAGCACCACCTCACTTGGAAGATCTGGGGAGGAGGGGATGATATTAAACACATATATTCCAGAGTAGAAAGCAGTGTTCATGTGGAATTTCTGGTGAATCCAAGCAGAAAGAACACAGACTTTGAAGCTAAACAGAAATCTTAACTTTGCCACTAACTAGCTATGTGACCTTGGTTGAGTTACATCCCCTGTAAGCCTTCATTTCCTCATCTGTAAAATGGGGCCAGTAATCTTTTCCCCCACAAAGAAGAGATTTGTTGTGCCCTGAAATAAAAGGGGGGCTAATTAGTGGGAACCACTAATTAAATAGTTGTCAGCACAGTGGCCCAGATCAATATTGGAGCTCCATCTCAGGACACCTGGCCCTTCCACCTTGAGACTCTGCTTCCTCCCTGCTGCCAGATGGCTGCTATTCTCACTGTGGCCTTGGGCCTCTGTGCCTTCAACATAGGTGCCCTGGCCAGACTTTACTTTCAGCACTGGACACCCAAGGCTGGGTCCCCGGCATTTTCCCAGCTCCAGTGCCTCAGCAGGACTGGGCCTGGCCAGCCAACTGCTACTTAGGAGGTCACATCCTGGGGCACTGGCCAGCCTGTGGACATGCTCAGCCCCGAGCCAGTCAGCTGTGGGCAGGGAGGTCTTGGGATGAACAGTCATCAGGCCACAGGCCCAGGGGAGAGTCCTGGAAGAATTTGCTCTTCTAAAGCAGTAGTTCTCAACCTTGGCTGCACATTATAATCACCTGGGGGGCCCAGCCCACATCCCAGACCAATTAAATCAGAGTTTGGAGGGTGGACCCAGGTGTCACTATTTTTCAAGGGAACTGTATTGAAGTATAATGTTTGTACAGAGAAGTAGACAAATTGTTAGTGTGTGGCTTGAATTTTCATTAAGTGAACACCTCCAGATCAAAAAACCGAGTATTTCATCACCCTAAAAACTCCCCCTTTGCCCCCTCTGAGTCTACCCTCCAAGGGTAACCATTACCCTGGCATATGATACCATGTTTTAATTCTGCCAGCTGAGGTGGACAACCAGGGTATGACCAGGGCTGGCCATTGGGGTTGGAGGAAGTGGGACTTGGGTTTGGTATGAAAACCGAACAGCTTGAGCCAAGGCAGTCAGGGGAGGGGAGGGCCTGGAGTGAGGAGTCCGTGGTGTAGGCCCAGCTGGAGCAGAGGAAAAGGCAGGGGAAGCCAGAGTGAGCTCTGTGAGAGGCGACTTCATTTTGTTCCTAGCTCCATCCCCAGGCTGCCTGCAGTGCCTGACACACAGTAGATGCTCAATAAATATTTGTGGAATTCAGTCTGGAGAATTCAGTTGGAGGCCCCCTCTAGGTCTTAAATGTCACAGGACAATAACCCCAGCTCCCAATTATTGTTTGCAGCAAGTCAGGAGCATGGACCATCTCGCTTAATCCTCATGATGGTCCTGGGAAGTTGGTGCCATTATTACTCTCTTTTTTCAGATGAGGAAACTGAGGCTCAGGGAGGTAAAATGCCTTCCTCAAGGTCACCAGTCTGCTAAGTGGTACAGCCTGGATTCACATGTGGTCTGTCTGCTCAGGGCTCTGTGGCTCGGGGGGGGGGGGGGGCAGCCACGTGGAGGGGCTGGAGGACAGGAGAGATGGAGTCTGAGGGGCCAGAGCCACATCCAGTCCCTCATGAGATCTCTGGCTCATGTTCCATAGACCAGCCCTGGGCAGGATGTCCTGATCTCAGAGGCCAGGAGAGAGCCATCCCTTCTCCAAATGGGTTTTCGGGGTGGTCTCTTGGGCTAGGGACAGAGGGCAGGATTTAGCTAGACATCTGCCTCACGGGGAAGATGAGGCACAGAGAGGGATAGGGACTTAACCTCAGGTCACACAGTAAGGCAACACTGAGGCTAGAGGGGAGGGGTGAGGTGGGTGTAGAGGACAGCCCAGGCAGGAAGGTTTCCTGTGGTCAGAACAGTCAGAGAATGGCCCTTAGAACCCACGAAGTCCACGACTGGAGTAGCTAGCCTCCAGGGGCCCTGTTGTACACTCGAACTGGGGTTGGCAGTAGTCTGCAGGTCCAGAAGTCTTAGTGAAGGGACGGGAAGTCTGGCTGAGGCCCTGCCTTAGACTTTCTGGGCAGAGCCTGGGGGGGAGATGGGGGACCCAGACATCTGAACTCAAGCCTCAGCCCCAGCCTCCCTTCATGGTGTGACCCTAGGCAAGTGTCTGCCCTCTCTGGAACCAAATGTCCTCTGTGAGCCCTTCACATCTTTTGCACGCCTGCCAAACACCAATTCTCCCTTCTGTCCTCACAGACTTTAAGCCACAGGCCAGGTTGCAGGAAGCAGCAAGGGGGAAGTGCTATTTTGGGCCCATTATGGCCAATGAGGAGCCCTGCCCAGCAAAGGCAAGTGAACGGGCATTGCATGCTGGATCAGGGATAGATTGCAGGGCTGAACTGAGGAGGGGGACATTGAGCAGGAGTTGCCGACAAATGGAGGCAGAGCCCAGATGCCAGACTGTGGGGAGGTCACAGAGCAAGTACTGAGGATGCAGGAGGAGAGGGAGCAGATAGGGGTTCCAAGCCCAGTGTTCTGGAAGAAGCTAGTGCCCCCGACATGGGATCTCAATAGATCCTCACAACACCCTGGGCTGGTGAGCTTGCACTCAAGAGAGGTAAAGTCACTTGCTTAAGCCACACAGGCCACACAGCCTGGCAGTGGCAGAACTGGGACTCGACCCCTATGTCTGTGGCCCCAAAACCCAAGCCCAGTGAGATTCCAGACCCAGCTCAGGGTCTGGACCTAAATTTGGATTGAACCTAGCTCTCAGGCCCAGCAGCCTCAGCTCAGTTCCTGTCCTGCCCCACGGCTGAGCCCCACCCTGGCCTCCTAGCCCCAGTTCCTCCTTAGACCAAAGCCCACCCTCCCCCTGGAGCTAAGGCACACACACAGGGGGGCAGCCCACCTTTAGAGGGGTAGGACTTGGCCAGTTAGGGGTTAGCCAAGGACAGAGCATTAAAAAAAATTTTTAAAGATTTTTTTTTTTTAAAGATTTTATTTATTTATTCAACAGAAAGAGACAGCGAGAGAGGGAACACAAGCAGGGGGAGTAGAAGAGGGAGAAGCAGGCTTCCCGCAGAGCAGGGAGCCCGATGCGGGTCTCGATCCCAGGACCTTGGGATCATGACCTGAGCCGAAGGCAGACACTTAACGACTGAGCCACCCAGGCGCCCCAAGATTTTTTATTTTTAAGGAATCTCTGTACCCAACGTGTGGTTCAATCTTACAACCTGGAGATAGAGAGTCCTATTCTCAACTGACTGAGCCAGCCAGGCGCCCCTAGAGCATTCCTCCCGCTTTGTACTTTCTTGTTAAAATTCCAGTGTGGCCAGCAGAGGGCGCCACGATTTCTGGTCCACAACCCCGGGGACTGCCATCTGTTCGGATCCCTTGCCAACAACTGCACCCCATGCCTCAGATCCTGTGGGACAGGGTCCCCACTGCAGGCAGGGCCTCAGTGGGACATGGAGCCCACGGCCCTGACTCTGGAGCCCCATCACAGCTCATCCTGGCTTAGTGGGGCTTGTGCTGTGCCACCTAGAGGGAGGTGCAGGCTTTCTCTGGGCTCACTTCCTCAGCTTCGCTATGACAAGTTCAAATGAGATGGTCTCTGAAGTCCCTAAGTGCAGGGATTGTAATGCTAAGATTTCGCGGGTTCATCTGAGATGCCAGGAGTTTTAAAAGCCTGTGATTGTGAGAGCCCTTTGTTCTCCAGCCTGTGGCTCTCCAAGCTCCATAAAAAGCCAATTTAAATCTCCTGTGGCCTCCACAACTCCTTCCCTGCCTCCTCACTAGATGCTCACAGATTCTTGGGCAGGGTCCCATCTGTAGCTCATTGTGCTTCAGGAGTCAGAGCTGAGAGTAAACAACAATTAGGCTCCCTCATAACCTGAGGGTTCGAGGGTGGAATGTGTGTGGTCTGTGGCTCCAGGAGACCCGACTCTACGGACCTGCAGCCTGAGAGCCCAAAGGTGCCAACCAGAGTTCCCAGAGCCACAAGAGGGACCCCATCAGCTCCACCATCCCTGATCTTTTCTCCCGGCTCAGGGGGCTGCAGCCCACCCTTACCACTCAGGTGGGTGG